AACAGCTTATGGATAAAAGTGATATAAAAATAACTGATGACCAGATGGTGAAGGGGACGCCTGTGAGCGTCGGCCGAGTTGTGGCCCGAGTTTGTGTGGCACCCAATCTCGAAGACGCCGTCAATATTCAAGTAAATAATTAATTTGAATTCATGTGTAAAGAAATTAAAATTATGGTAAATTTAAACGTAAAGGCGGGCGATATTCTGGTGACGTACAGCACAGACATCGGTTGGTCTCCTTATTTCCCAATGATTGGTGGAATCGCCACAGAGATCGGTGGTCTGGTATCGCACGGCGCTGTCATAGCCCGTGAGTACGGTCTCCCGTGTTTGGTCGGTGTGACCAACGCTTGTCATATCTTTAAGACGGGAGATATGGCTCTTCTCGACTCTCAAAAGGGAATTCTTTGTAAAGTAGAGACAAATAATAATGAATTTCAAAACGGATCCATTAAATAATGTTTACCATATTTAGTATATTTTACTGTAATTCATATTATTTGTCGCAATTTTCCATTTATATTATTACTTATTCTTATATTTAAAGCATTTAAATACTCATTCAAATTGGAATTGAATTCTTTATTCAAAATAAAGATAATGAAAACTATTTATAATTGTTTTCAAAACTGAAAATCATGTTAATTTAGTTTAATTTTAATTAAATTAATTAAAAGTATATAATAATTAGAGGTAATTGGACTCAAATGGTGTACACATTTTCATTCGACATCTTCCTCTTCCATGTCTTGAATCTCTTCTGTTTCTGCTTCGGCTTCAGCTTCTTGTTCAATGATAATCGAATGATTAGTTGATTGATGTCTCTGAAGATGTAATTAAAACACCATTAGTTCCACACTTATTATCATCGCATAGATAACACATACCTTCAAGTGATGACTTCGAGCAAAACCTTTGCCACAATTGGGATATTCGCAGACAAACCTCTTCTCTCCGGTGTGAGTGATCTTATGGTTAGTGACATCGCACGCGCGCACAGACCGATATTGACAGCCGGGCCTATAGAGCACACAATGTTATTCACATTTGTTATTACAATGGCATACAAAGTACAGACCAATCGCATGCAAACGGCTTCTCTTCCATATGAATCAATTGATGTTTTCTCTAACAAAAGGGCAATAAAAATCACAATTAGAGTCAAAATAAATGTCCAACAATTAGTTGTATTCATACGAGATGTGAGTTTTGGGTGTAACTTCGGGTACAGCCTATAAATGAGAGTAAAAATCATTAATCAAATGGGAGAGAGACTGGGGTCAGAGTGTGAGCCATACCGGGCCAGTCGCAGACAAAGAACTTTTCGCCGGCGTGTACTCTCTTATGATCGTCGAGATTGCCCTTCACAGCGAATCTCCACTCACATCCGGGCCAATCGCAAACGTACGGCTTCTCACCCGTATGGGTCCTCATGTGGACCTTCACGTTGTTTTTCTGTCCAAAATAATAATTAGAAAAAGGGTTTTAATTGACGCAAAAACTCGATTCAAACCCATAGATACCTGACTGAAGAAGAGCGTACAACCCGGCCATTCGCACGGGTATGGCTTCTCTCCGGTGTGGGTTCGCATATGTGTCTTAAGCGCTGATCCCTGAATGAAACTGAGGCCACAGTCGGGCCAATTGCATCGATAGGGCTTTTCGCCAGTATGTGTGCGCTTATGGTCTTTCAAGTGAACCTAAAGTGAAACAAATAATACAATAAATAAAAGCGGTATTAAATGAGTGAATGTGTGGTAAAGACCGAGTGTCTGGCGATGTAATTGCACCCTGGCCAATCGCACGGGTACTTTCGGGTAACGCCAGTCGGTTTACGACCCCTTTTCTTCTTGAGAAGCGTGTCATCAGTGATAATATTGGACACGACTTTGAGATTGTATTGATTGGCTTTGGATTTACTGATGTTTTGCGGTTCGCTTTTAATCTTCCGCTTAATCGCCGTCTTTGGCGGCGAGTCGTCGTTGTGCTCGTCGTCGTTGTCGTCGGTCTTCTGCTGTCCGCCGCCGGAGAAGCGCTTCACAATCGACTGATCCGTATTGTGTCTCAAGAGGTAGTGATTCTTCACTTTGTCAATGGTATCGAAGCGTCGGTTACAGAATTTACAGCTGTATTGCGTGACCACAACCGCCTCAGCGATGATTATATCGTCCGCTTCCGAGTTGTCAATCATGTCTTCGTTGCCGTCCGCCTCTTCCAACTCCTGGTCGTTGTCCTGCGGCTCCTCCTCTTCGTCCAACTCTTCGTTGTCTTCCAACTCATCGTTCAACTGATCCGCGTCTTCGGTGGCGTTAATCATCTCATTGTCGTCGCCGTTGTCTTCGTAGGTGTCGTCTTCGGGCATCACTTGTGCCGTCACATAAGTGCCTTCCGACGATTCAATCATATGAACGGCCACCAGATTCTCATCCATTCCTCGTCAGTCAAAATCAGTGGTTAAGAAACACAACCAGTTTTTGGCAAATAATAACTGTAAGAGAAATGAGAAGAAAAATGGGATTTCAGTTAATTATAGTCTAATTA